GCCACTCCTCATGTTCCTTCGGCAGCAGTTACTCTCTGGACCACATCCTAGAATTTATTTATTTCGTTTACTGTTTGTCTCTCACTAGACTGTGGTTCCGGGAGGGGAGGGATTATCTGCTTTGTTCCTTGTTGCATCCCCAGGGCCCCAAACAATGCCTGGCACACAGCAGTTGCTCAATATATATGAGCGAATTCATTTAAAAACAGGTGAACATAAGGCTATAAAGAAGGTCAAAAGAAGCAGCAAACTGGGACAGATAAAAAGATGACAGATAGAGGGTTAAGACCCTTAACGCGCAAGGAACGTGTGCAAATCAATAAGGAAGAAATAAACAGCCCAAGAGAAGGATAAGCAAAAGGAATAGACAAGTAATTGGCAAAAGAAGGAACCACTGGCGGCTCGCAAACAGAAGAGGTTCTCAGGCTCACGAAGAACCAGAGGGGGCATCGCTAGGGCACCGCTCAGGTTGGCGTGGTGTGCAAGCCTGCTGGGGATGAATGGAAGAAGCACCCCTTCCTGCTGCTGGCGGGCCACGTAGACGGTGCGTGCAGGCTCAGAAACACGGGCACTTTGACATCTGGCCTCATGCTTGACGGCGGCCCCGCATCACAGGTGCAGCAACTGGGGACCAGAGGGGGCAATGAGCCCACTGGGGTCACACAGTAAGGCGGGGGGCTGAAGCGGGGCCCGGCCACTGCCCCTGGGGCTCCCTGACGCCCTGTGCGATCAGGCCTGGGTCTCTGGGACCCTGGCAGGAAACCTGGGGTGGACAGGCAGGGGGGTAGGGCACCCTAGTACCCTGGCCGACTGGGGATTTCGAGTCACACGCCCAAGTGGGGGACCTTGAGCAAGTGTCAGCCTTTCAGAGCCTTGTTTCTTCACGTGAAGAGTGGGGAAAATCGGACTCGCCGCATGGGGTTTCTGTGGGCATTCAGACAGGCAACGTGTGTAGAGGCCATGAAATGAGGCCTGGGACAAAGCAAGCGCTCAGTAAATGGAAACAGGCCTGCAGCTGTCCCCTCTCTCCCCTCCACCACGTGGGGTGGAAACTCTGAGTCTGCCCCGCAGCTGTGTTCCAAAGTGCTGGAAGCTGCCCTCCCAGGAGACAGGGCGGATCTTCCCCCAGCCCTGCGTGTCCCCCAGGCCCAGGCTGCCAGCTGGCTCCCCACCCCAACACAGGGGCAGTGGAAAAGTACCCAGGCCAGGGGCCCGCTCTGGCCCCACGGGCTGTGTGACCTTGGGCAAGTCGGGGCCCCTCTCCCATCCTAGTCTCCATCCGGGGCTGAGATGCAGCTGGGAAGTGATCATATGGGGCGGGCAATATTAAAGTTTTGCCCGCCATGGGCCCTGCTGAGCCGGCACGCATGAGTGGTAGTGGTTTTAGCTCCGTTTGGCAGAAAGGGAAACTGAGGCTCAGGAGGCGAAGCCATGCGCCCAAGGTCACCCAGCTGGGAAAGGACTGGACTCGGGGTCTGTGTCAGTCCTGTGGGACCGAAGGAAGTGCAGAGAAGGGAGCAGGAAGGAAAAGGAAAGGTGGCCAAGGGGAACCACAGACAGACAGATGGACAGAGAGACACAGAGACCCATACACAGAGATACTGTTATCAGCTGAGCTGTGTCCCCCTAGAACTCGGATGTTGAAGTCCTTACCCCCCGTCCTTTGGACACTTTGGAGAACGGGTCCCCGCAGAGGGGATTAGAATGAGGTCTGAGGACATTAGGGCAGGCCCTAACCTAGGACTGGTGTCCTCACAAAAAGGAAACTGGACACATAAACAGAGTCAGAGAGACCATGTGGAAGGCCATGAGGGCTCGGGGGTGTGGGGGACCAGGGCGAGGCCTGGGGGGCTGGCTGCCTGGCTCCTCAGAAACCCCCATCTGCCTCCCTTCAGAGGCTGTGCCCTGGCAACAGAGGCTTCAGCAGGGAGGAACCAGGGTCGACTACCCCCACCCACCTTCCTCACACGCCCCTCATTCCAAAGCAGACCGCACAGGTCCTGGGCCCACACCCCACTCTGAGCCACACAGAGTATTTTTAGCTGGGGTTCCTTGGAGGGGAGGGGAGGGGGCCTTGACACAGGCTTGTCTGGCTGGGCAGGGTCTGCATGGCTGGGGAGGGGTGAGAAAGCCCTTGACAGTTTCCACCCCCCCCCTTTCCAGGCCAATGTCTGTTCTCAGAGAGGGTAACAAATGGCTCCCAGGGGGAGGAGTACACACTGGGTATGGGCACATGGCTGGGAGAACCGAGTTCCAGCAGGTCACGGGAGGGACATGGTCAATGATCAGCCCAGCACTCCCAAGGAGAAATTCTTCTTCTCCCCATAGCCCTCTTGAGCTCAAGCACACTCTATAGCTCCCCACTGTTGGTAGCAAAAAGCCCAGGCTCCCCCAAGGCTCCACACAATCTGGCTCTATACCCCCATTTGGGAAAAATCTCAGCCCCTTCTGTTCCAGCAGGAAACCTCCATCCTTGTACAGTACCCAAAACCTGCTGGACACATTCCTACCCCCATCCCTTTGCACCTGCAGTGCCAATACCTGAGATGTCCTTCCCTGAATGTACCATGTCTTCCAAGCGCCGCTGAATTGCATATGCTGTTCCCTCAACCTGGAATAGCCTTCTTCCAGATCTGGCTACCTCCTCAGAGGGGTCTTCCCTGACCCCCCCTCACTCCCTCTTGATCATACCATCCTGTCCCCATACCTCCAAGCACTTCCCTCTCTCTCCAGCGATTGTGTTCATTTACTCATTTACTTGCTGTATGTCTGTCTCCCTGTCACTCTGGGCCCCATGTGTCTTGTTCAGTTCTGTGAACACACACCCACGGTACATACTTGGAGAATTAATATTGAGCAATAAAAGCTGAGTAATTCCCAGCCTGCTCTGAAACACTGGATTGCACAAAGTTCATCAGTGACTAAGAAATCCACTTCACCTGGAAATCCACTGAACACATGGTAAAAGGGATGCAAAACATTCCTGGACCAATTCTTATGATCACTATGTAGGATATATGCCTGCATATTCTATTCTATTCCATTCTATTCTATTCTATTCTATTCTATCGCATTCCACTCCATTTCATTCTATTCCATTCCAAGAAAAATCTGGTTACAACCTTTTGGTTTCATAACCCATTAGTGGGTTACAACAATACAGCCCCAGAGACAAGGTTCTCAAATTTTTGCTGCCGAGGTCCCTGAACTTCCCTGGTCCTGCCCCCTCCACACCCACTTCAGCTTGCTGACTACCCTTGCTGTCATTCGGGGGCCTGCCAGCCCTCCTTTCTCATAACAGAGCCAGGCTGCTACCTACAAGGAACACTCCAGTCCCATGACCCCAAGTGGGTGAGTCCCTCCTGCAACACCTCCCCGAGAGGACTTTTGACCTCCATGGGGCTCCTCTCTGTTGGCACCGGGCCACACGGGGTGTACCTCTGCTTGTCCCCATGGCCCTCCCTCTTCTCCCGCAGGAACGACCTGAGGGGAAGGCACAGGGAAGGGTGAAGAGGCGGGAGGCAGCTCCTGCAAGCCACCCGAAGAATCAGGAGTAATTCGCTGCTCCGAGCCCCCTCAGTGGCTCTCTTGCCCCCACGCCAACCCTCTCCCTGGGTGCCAAGAGTCCTACCTGCCACTGTGGCACTATCGTTCAGGTCCACAGTGTCCCCACACAATGGAGATCCTGCTCGCATTTGCCAGGTGATGAGGCTGCGGCTCAGTGAAGGGGAAGGATGCGCGCCCCAGACCACATAACTCAGACGTGGCTGAGAGGGCGTCTGAACCCAAGCAGTCACTTTCAAAGGGACAGAAGGCAGACGAGGCAGCCAGCTTTAGGGTCCCGTCCCTTCTCCAGCCTGGAGGTGGAGACCTCAAAGGTTCTATCCAGATCTGACCTTTGCTGGTCTTCCCTGGATCATGCCACGGTGAGAGAAGCAGACCTGGCTCCTGGTGCTCACCCCTCCTCTTGGGCACCATGGCCCACACCCCACCTGGTCATTTCCCTTCTGGTCTGTCTCAAGGTCAAGGTCTTTGCTCCTCCTTCTCATTCCCACTCCCTGAGGCTGAGACTGATGGAGTCAGGGCTCTAGGGCAGGCGCTGACAGACTGTCGCTGGGTCCCTATCCTGGGGCCTGGGATGCCCTCACGGGGGGGCGGGGGGGTGTTTCCCTCAGTGAAATCCTGCTGGGAAAACCAATTCATAGGAGATTCCTGAAAGGGCTGCTCTGGCTAAACAAGAGCAGAGGGGCTGGCTCCTGTGGGCCTGACTTCTCTTCGTCCACCACCCCTTGCTGCCACTACCCCAGGTCACCCGGGAGTCTCCAGAGCCACCCCCCTGACCCCGGAAAACCACAATATCAGCCCAAAGTAACGGGGATACTTCAGGTGCTCCCTATCGGGGAAATATTCCGAACAAGTGGCCAGTGCTTGCTGGAGCCTCCACACGAGTTGGACATGAGACTGGGGGAGGGGCAGGAACCCTCTAAAAATTCCAAGACAACACAGTCTCTGGAATCCTCCCGGCTCGGAATGCCGAGCCCTGCTCTCCAGCCGGGTGACTGTCGGAAGGTAACATACCTCTCCCGGCCTCGGCCTCCCCACCGGCAACCTGGCATGATAGAACCGTCTGGAGCAGTAAGTGAGGTGCGGCAGACAGCTGAGCAAGGGATACACACGGAGCTCACACCATGACTGCTGCTATGCCCCCCCCCCCCCCCCCCCGGCTTGTGAATCGTGGTATCCTGGAGGTCGTCAGGAACTCTGCCTGCGCTTGGGCGTCCTCATGCGTCAATTGGGGGTGATGCTGGTACCTACGTCGTACGTAGCGTCTCCGTGCATGGAGGGAAAGCAGCGAGAGCGCGTTAAGGTGCTTAATTAACGCTTGGCACAAAGCGAACACCTACTAGATGCTAGGTATTGCTTGTGACTGTCAGGATCGCTGCGACTCCGCGCTCCTAGCCCCGGGGGGCAGCCACCCCGCGCCCGGGGGCCCGTCTTACCCCGGCGGGATGGAGGCGCGTGCGCTCACGCTGGTGGCGCGCTGGGGCCCGGGCCGGTTGAGGTTGTTCTGCCCCGGCGTGGGCGCGCCGCCGGGGGCG